CTTGGTTGATAGGCACTGGAGCCTGTGTGGTTTTGGTGAAGTCACACTTGTACGTCTGACAACACGCGTTGTTGGGGTCAGGGATGAGCACGCACTGCGGTGGGAGGTTGCTCAGATTGGGGCAGCTATGGGGAGGAGGGTAATAGTTGGAAACTTTTATCACATCATGTCTCGGAGCGTTAGGACGGTCAAAAACAAGATGCCCCCTGTTTTTAGAAGACATAACTACTGCGACCTCATTGTGACTCCCATGGTGAACCTGCATGTTGTGCAATGGGTTGAATAGTTCTGAATGGTTTTGGGGGTGGGGGGTATCTAGGGGGGGGGGGGATAATTGTACCTGAAGAAAACATACAAAGCTACATTATGGAATGACAGTATGGTATAATGCAAAATGGTTTGGTGAGGCTTTTAACTCTCTTTCAATACTGTCAGGTTATCAAGTTGCAGGTTTAAAATCTTTCTCCAACTGGACAGAATCGAATGGGAGGAGAGCCATGAAAGTTCATTTACACTTACCCACACTTTTTGGATCTCAAGCGAACTGGGGGATATAAATTGTCGGCTCCTTAACCAATTACCGTGCGCAACTACCTTGACGGGAGGACGCTACTTATACGCCATCAATCTATATCAAAAGCTCGAGGAGCATCTATGCCTCCTACCTGTCTTTTCAATTTGTGTCAGTTTGATCAAGGTCCCAGTGTAGCAAAAAGAAAGAACAACTCTCACAACGTCACAATGTTACTTTCCTGTTTTAGTCTTTTAGGTCTAAAGCACTGGAGTTCGAGATGTACCGTATAGGCGCTTCGCCTTTGCTCACTGAAGTTATGAATTCGATTCCAGAGCGAAGAAGGTTTTCTTTCATAGAGTGTCTTCGTCAAACCTGCTGCGACGCAGTATCCCATTCAGCCGAGGATGGCCCTGACAGGAAGGTTAACCCTATCCGTTCGTCGTGTTTTACTATCGTATCCATACGACGTGGGGAACTCTGTGCCACCACTTTCCAAAGAGGAAATTTACTCGTTAATCCGATCCGTAGGTTTTGCATAGCAGTCTGTCAAAATGATTTTTTTGATAAATACTAAAAGTTTCAAAGAGATCTTCGCACTAGACGTATTCTAAAATGTGAAGAATACAATCCCTGGAGTACAAAATGACCCCAGGGCGTACGGATCCCGCCTCCAGTTCTAATTATCGTTTCAGATGAAGGCTCAAGACCAGAAATTCTCTCCAGAATCGCGCAAAAACAGCTGCGCTGTCAAAACTGAAGCCTATTTTATAGGTACAGAAACATCACGCACAACTTAAAATCAGACTAATGCGCTCACAGGTCATTCTAATATTTTTATACGCATGCGAGTCGTTGACACTAACAGCAGAATTAGAGAAAAAGATTCAGACCACAGAGATGAGATGTTACCGCAGACTCCTTGACATCTCGTACAAAGACCATGTTTCTTAATGCTGAGGTACAAAAGAGAATCATCAACGCAGTGGGGCAGTATGAAGATCTACTGACCACAGTGAAGAGACGAAATTTAAAATGGTATGCGCATGTCACAAGATCCATAGGACTTGCCAAAACAATCCTGCAAGGAACCGTACAAGGAAAGAGAAAGAGAGAAGGGCAGAGAAGGAGATGGGATGACAAGATTACCGAGTGGACGGGAAAGACGATGGGTGACAGTCTGAGGAAAGCAGAGGACAAAAATAGATGGCGAGAGCTGGTTTTCAGATGCAGTGGTGCCCCCACGGTTGCCCCAACCACGGGATAGAAGAAGAAGAAGAGGATGTTCTAACTAGTGTCGGGGGAGCGTAATAGAACTATCATTGCAATTTGACAGGAACTTAATGCTCTGGCAGAAACAAACTCACATGTCGGTGCATCTGTAGTTTCCAGTTGTGCCGTCCAAGCACTCGCAGTTGAAGTCACATCCGTCCTTCCACTTGGCTCCTTGCGTGTACAGCGTTCCTTTGTAGACACAGCCGGCTGAGAAAAAGACGAGGATTGAGTGAGTGTAGGACGTGAACTTCTGAATTCCAAGTGTTTGTGTGTGTGTGTGTGTTGGGGGGGTACGCGTGTGTGCACATTCGCTCGCATGTGTGCTTGTGTTTATTATCTGTGTATTCTTATGCGTGGGTGTGCATGTGTATGTGTGTGTTTGTTTGTGTGTGTGTGGTTTTTTGTGTTTGTGCATGTCAGTATGTGAGTGAGTGTGTGCGAGTACGTGCGTGTGTGTGTGCATGTGCGTGTGCATGTGAGTGAGTGCATATTCGTATGCATGTTCGTATGTTTCTGCGTATGAGAGTGCATGTTTGCCTGTGTGTGTAAGTGTGTGTTTGCGTGTATGTATGAGCCTGAATGTAAACTTGTATGTGTGTCTCTCTATGAGTGTATACTTATGTGTCTCTGAAAAAATTACCCTGTTTCAACTCTGTGACGTCCAAGCACACACACACACACACACACACACATACACACACACACACACACATACACACACACACACACACACAAACACACAAACACACACACACACAAACATACCACACAAGCATTTCTCTCTATCCATCTCTTACTCTCTCTCTCTCTCCCTCTCTCTCTCTCTCTCTCTCTCTCTCTCTCTTTCTCTCTATTAAACACACACATAGACACTCACACACACACACATAAATGCTCACTTATACACATATAAATGCAAACACACATACACACATAAACGCATACACATATACAAACACACGCGTGCACACACACATCACTTACTCCTAGTGCCAGTCATGGGAGCAGAGGATCCTGAAGGTAAAACGTTAACGGGCAGTCCGCCTGAGCCGGTCATAGTGCCTCCCGTGCCTGTAGGCACCTGTTTGGGATGGGGGAGAGGGGGGAGATCCAATGGAATGTAGATGGAACAGTCGTTGTTTTACGACCCCATCCCTTGACACTACGTTACCTAAGTATTAAAAGATTTTATTTGATATTTTTGGCCGCTTTGAGTTATTAACTCCATGAGGTGAGAAATCAAATGCTATATCTGCTCTCTCAAAATCGTAGGGTTATTCAAGTCGCTTTCAAGATTTTCAAAGAACTGCATTCCAAAAAGCTTGAAATATTGTGAAACTCAATTTTTTTTTACCTCAAATTTCCCACAACTAGGTACTGAGTAGAGAAAACGTTATAACTTTTGAGGTAGAGACTAGATTGATCATTTAAGAGGCAGCCTGCTTCAAGCCTATCTGTCTGGGCCATAACGTATTCAGAAGATTACAACGTTCCAGCAGATAGACGGAGATCAAAATAGTCATCATCCTCATCACAAAGTGCAAATTTTGAAACAGACATCGACGATGATGGTTCGCCTTTCAGTTCTCCGCTCGTATGCTCTCAAAACCATTATTGTCCTGGCTTTTCCCCGTCACCCATCTGTTGAGGTTTTCCAAGTATGTTGCTGTGGGTCTGCCCCTGTTTCGTGTCGTGCTTTCTGTTGTTGTTGGGGTTTTTTTCAATGAGAGAAAGCTGTTCAATATTTTTATATTGATTCAAGTGCATTATACTGTTTTTATTAATGAGTTGTCACATGGGCTTCTTTTAGTAATGCCTCATTTGATTTCTTACTTTTCCATGAAGTGTATAACAGTCTATCATGAAACCACCTTTCTGTTTCTCCTGTTTTATTTTCCCCGTTTTTGAGGCAATTGTCCAAACTTCACAGAAGGGTTGACAAGACACAGCCTTTTAGAACTCTTATGTTTGTAGTCATTGAAATCTTTCTATCATTTTTTTTCCGGATTAGACTCTTTTATTGAAACTCTGTTTAGCAACCAGTGTTCAAGAAAACCATGTTGGGAATTCGAATTTGTATAGTTTTTACCATAGCTGAGCACGATACCAACGGTGCCTACTAAAGCGCCAAGAGTATCTAGATAATATAGTGTTCACGGATAAATATAATATTAAATCGGCACCCCCCCCCCCCCGGAAAAACCCCTAGAGCAAAAACATGAAACAAATAACAAAACCTAAAACAAAAACAAAAAGCTACAAACACAACAACAGAAGAGAAAATCCAGACATTTGCAGACTCACTAAGCTAGAGGTTCAGGAATACTAGATTCTATGTACAAGTGAAAAACTTCTTTCGTCAAACTGAAAGGCGTGAACTGTCGAACATGTCCAACTCCTCTTAGCTGAAGAAAGCAAGGACGAACCAAATGCTTGGGGAATAGTGGTGGGCGGCATATCGAAAACAATATATCGATATATCGATATTTCTACACATATCGATATCGTATCTAACCAGTGAGAAAAATATCGATATTTCGATATTTTAATATGCCCACCACCCAGCACTGCATTTCCAGGAATCAGCAGATGTTCTCCCTACATTAAAACACAAAAAATATTGTTTTTAAAATAAATTAATTTACACAAATTATTATTATTATTTTAAAAGAAAAAAGCCGTGTTTCGCGCAGCGATTTTTTGAAAATACGACTAGACTCGATAATTATTAATACATTTGTGGTGGAATTTTCATTTATCGATAATAATTTTGTATTATCGAAAAATATCGATATATCGATATTTCATGTAAAAAATACCGATATCTTATCAAATTCGATATTGCTGATATCTCCAAAGATCATGCATAACAAGATAGTTCACTCCTCTCTTTGAGCGAATTAAAAGAGTGTCCTCAAAATTCGGTGGCACCCTCTTCGAAAAAATGCGGACTTTGCGATCAGAGTTACATTCCTTGAGTGAAAAACAATAACAGGGATATTTAACAAACTGTGCTATTCCTAGTCTTCTTCTGGAGAAACGAAAGAGAGCTTCAAAACAAAGGCTGCGGCGCCATCTGAAGCAATGCGAAGACTTCGGCGGACGCGGCTGAGTAAACTATCTTGTTATGTATGATCTTTGATATCGCCCATCACTATTGGGGAATCCCACAGATACAAGCATCATTAGAGCTCTCATGAATCACCCATAACTTCTCCGTCACTTCAAAGAAACCGTATTTCTTCTATCGGAATTGTAAGTTTAGAAAAGTGCAGATGAAACTAATAGAACAAAGTTTGAACCCCCCCCACCCCCTTTTAAAGCAGTTATAAAGGGCAGCCAAAATTATCATTTTCTGTCAGCGAGACATCGGGAAGGGACAGAAATCCTATATCAAACTGTCTCCACAAGACAAAAAAAACCAAACGTTCTGTGAGCGTGAGAAAGAACATGCCGTGTCAAATGATAAAAAAACCCAACAAGCCAAAACCGTCCGGTGATGGCTGTCGTGTTCAAGGGCGACAGCTAGAAAAAAATGAAACAACTACTGAATATGCGAAACTATTCGTACCTGGGCTGGTGAGTAGCCAGTGGATCCCTGTCCGTATGTGGGCACCACGTTGATAACCTGTCCATTGGGCTGAGTTGGGCAGTCTGGGAACTTGCAGCAAACGTCATTGGGGTTGTCCTTGAGGGTGCAGCGGGGATCCAGGCTCTGGAAAGTGGGACATCTATGGAACGGGAAACATCGCATTATTATTTACGTGTTTTCTGGAACTTATAATGCCGCAGGAGGGTCAGCGACAAAACCTCAAACTCAGCCGACTTGATTTTTTAAAATAATATAAATACAAAACAAATCGAAAAAGATAATATGGGCGCTTGCAAAACAGATCAGGTCAAATAGATTTGTGGCACTTAATGGAGGATAACAAGCAACTGTTAGTTCTCTAGTTCTATCTTGAAAACACGGAAGGAAGGGACATGCGAAAGTGACAGTAAAATCCCAAAAGGACATTGTAAATTCTAAGCGATTTTCGGAACAATGGAGTGTTGGGGAGAAATCCCTATAATTATAAGGTCGTAGTTAGAAAAACAAAACAAAGAAAAAAAAACTAAAACCTTATCGTCGTTGCCTCACCTAGGAGAACATCTGTATTGTCCTGTCTTGCCGTTTTCACAAACACATGTAGATTTACATCCGTCAGACCACCTCTGACCCTGTTGGTACAACACTCCATTGTATACACAGCCGTCTGAAAAAGAATACAGAAAATGTCGTATAAAATCGATATTATGCTTAACTGCCGGACATATGTCTTCGTCTTTCATACTAACATTTTGTATAGATCGTGCGTTTGTTCTAAAAGGGTGCTTTTAGAAGGTGCCTTTTGTCCTCTATAATTAATAGGATTAATAATTTGGCTACGTTATTGTCTTTCCAACAGAATATTGTACTCAGAGCAAATGTTTTCACTTTTTTCCATAAAGTCAAACGCCCTTTGGAAATAATATCAATGTTTTCTAGGCAACACTAGACAATGCAGAAAAAGCTATACTCTGTGTTTCCAAAATTATGCTACTTATTTTCCTGAAAAGTAACATTGCTAACATAAAACATACAAAGAGGGACTAAAAGATCACTTTAGCTTGCAATACTATCGAAAGAAGAAGCACCCGACAATAAGTATATCATTTTTATAAAAAAATTAAAAATGTTTTTTCGGGTGTGACGTCGTGACTACCCACGTATTGACTCCACTGTAAGTGGAGGCCCCAGATATGCGTAATGGGTTAAGTAATCTGCGAATGGAGACCTCAACTATTCCTTTATCCAATCATCTTACCTAGTTTAGGTGGGATGACCACTTGTCCTCCGTTTGGATTTGGAGACTGTCCTGGTGCCAAAGTTGGGAATGGAGCTTGACCAGGGGCATACGTTTGACCAGGTGCTGGAGTAGGGAACGGAGCTTGGCCAGGGGCATAAGTTTGTCCAGGAGCCAAAGTCGGGTATGGGTTCCTTCCAGGGGCGTATGTCTGTCCAGGTGCCAAAGTGGGGTACGGATTTTGTCCAGGGGCATACGTTTGTCCAGGAGCCAGTGTGGGGAAAGGGTACTGACCAGGCGCATATGTCTGACCCGGTGCTAGGGTGGCATACGGATTCTTTCCTGGGGCCCATGTCTGTCCAGGCTGCAGAGTGGGAATGGGCTTTTGTCCCGGTGCAAGTGTCTGGCCCGGTACCGGTGGTGGGTATGGATAAATGCCAGGAGGATATGTTTTACCTGGAGCGAGTGTTGGGTACTTTCCTGGGGCGTATGTCTGTCCTGGGGCCGGGGTCAGATAAGGGTAAGGAGCATATGTCTGTCCTGGAGCTGGCGTTGGGAAAGGGTATTTTGTAGGACCAGGGTTGTTTTGTCCTGGTACAAGGGGTGCATATGGATTCTTTCCTGGGGCCCATGTTTGTCCTGGCTGCAAAGTGGGAATGGGCTTTTGCCCCGGTGCAAGTGTCTGGCCTGGAACCAATGGTGGGTATGGATAAATGCCTGGAGGGTAAGTCTGTCCTGGAGCGAGTGTTGGATATTTTCCGGGGGCGTATGTCTGTCCTGGGGCTGGGGTCAGATAGGGATACGGAGCATATGTCTGCCCTGGAGCTGGCGTAGGGTAAGGGTTTTGTCCTGGTACAAGGGTGGCATATGGATTCTTTCCTGGGGCCCATGTTTGTCCTGGCTGCAAAGTGGGAATGGGCTTTTGTCCCGGTGCAAGTGTCTGGCCTGGAACCAATGGTGGGTATGGATAAATGCCTGGAGGGTAAGTCTGTCCTGGAGCGAGTGTTGGATATTTTCCGGGGGCGTATGTCTGTCCTGGGGCTGGGGTCAGATAGGGATATGGAGCATATGTCTGTCCCGGAGCTGGCGTTGGGTACTGTGAGCCGGCCGGACGTGGGTTTGGAGCTGGGTACGGTTGAGGTACAGCTCCCATAGTATTGGGCACGGTCTGAGAGCCAGTAAAGGTTCCTGGGGTGTTACACTGAAGACCTTTGCAACACTGGCCGGGAACGTCCTGTAGAGTACAGCCGCTGGGCAAGTTAAGGTATTTTGGACATCTGTCATCGCAACGGAAGTAGCCGAAAGCAGCATTGTCACAGACGCAGATCTTATCGCAGCCATCGTACCAAGCATCGCCTTGTTTATAAGCTTGTCCCTTGTACACGCAAACGTCATTGGGGCTTGGAACACCAGTCTGGTTACAGAAGCCACAGAATTTTCTGCAGTTGTCCATGGCGAAAGGACGGTAGTTCATGTCTGTGCAGAGGCCTGATTGATATGTTTTGCAGTCTGGGTTCTTATCAATACAAGGGGGAGGTGTGGTCATCATTCCGTTGACTCCAGGACCACTCGGGTTGCCTTTCCCTGTAAAGGTTCCGACTTGTGTTGAGAACTCACAGTGAGGTTTCTCGCAACATTCGCCTGGTGGTTTCACCAATTTGCAGTAGCTTGGCAGGTTTCCATAATGGGCACACTTGCTTTGGCAATTGTATAGTCCCACACCGGCGTCCTCACATATGCACTCCAAGTCACATCCAACAGTCCAAACTTGACTCTGGTAATATTTACTGCCTCCATAGACGCAGACTTTGTTGCCATTGAGGTCACTGACGTTTTGTCCTGTCTTGGTTGTATAGGTTGCGTCAAAGTTACATACTGGCTCTAGGCAGCACTGTCCTTGCTTTTGCACAAGTGTGCACTTTGTTGGGAGGTTGTAGTAGGTGGGGCATTTGTTGTAACAATCGTACTTTCCAGTACTGGCATCTGTGCACTCACATTGGTATGCACAGCCGTCGTCCCATTTATCACCCTGTGAGTATTGCTTGCCTTTGTAAAAGCACTTGTTGAAGTAGCCTCCGGTCTGAGCACTAGGCGCACAATATCCGCAATACTTCCGGCAGTTGTCCATGGCCCAGCTTTTGTATGTTCCCACGCAGGACGTTACGTCATAGTTGGGGCAATCTGGTAGCTTGTCAACACAGGGAGGTGGGATAGTCGGTACAGACGTGGTGCAAAATCCACACGTCAGCTGGCAGTTCTTCTGGGCCCAGTCTTTGTAGTTCGTGCAGGAGTCAGCGCCGTACTTATTACAGTCATTGATTTGATCCTTGCACGGGTCGGGGGCCGGTGTCATCTTAGGTGCCTGTGTAGGAATATATGGAGGCAGGGTCGGTGGGATAGCCTGACACGTCTGCTGCTGGAAAGCTCCCTTGATGGCAGAGAGTTTGCTGAAGTCGTCCACCATCAGGACGTGAGAGTTGTCCGGGTCTGTAGCCATTTCGTTTAGCTCTGTCTTGGAAATGCCTTTTCCAACACCCACACTGAACACATTGATACCATGGTCTCTTGCCAGCTTTGCCGCAGCCTTCGTTTCATCTGGCTTGTTGGAGCGGCCGTCTGTGACGATGACAGCAATGTTTGGCACTCCGGGTCGGTCTCCGTTACTCTGCTTGAACATATTCTGGTCCAAGTAGGTGATAGCATCTCCCGTATTGGTTCCACCACGCTGGAACTTAATGTTGCTGATGGCGTTCTGCAAGGAGGTCTTATCGTTATACTTGTTCAGGTTGAACTCATTATACGGACGGCTGCTGAACTTCTCGACACCTACGCGGATCTTGTTTTGACCAATGTCCAGATCTTGGACCAGGGTGTTGACAAAGTTTAAGAGCAACTTGAAGTTTGAGTTACCAACGCTGCCGGATGAATCGAGCAGGAAAACAATATCGGCTTGACTGCCGCATGTTTTCTGGTTTGGTGGCGGGTTCTGGCTAGGCTGAGGCTTTGCTGCACCACAGGCTTTTGTGGCGATGTAGCCCTGAAGTCCCTTGAGGGCGTCGAATGAGGAAGCTTTGTATACATTCTGGCTGTCTGGATCAGTGGCAATGGCGTTCAATTCACTGTCGTCCACACCTGCTCCAACTCCAATAGCCAGCATTGTGATACCTGAAAACAGATGCAGTATCGTTTATGAAATACGGACAGTCAAATGGATAGAAGGTCAAAGGTGTATTACAAACATTTGATTGAAAGCCCCCAAAAAGACAAATTGTGGGGACTGCACTCTCCTCGAGATTTTAGAAGAAGAGCAAGTCGACAAATATATTAACAAAGTCATTTGACATTGATTCTCCAACGATACATTTTGACGCAGAAGAGACAGAGTCACTGAATACAAACAGGCAAAGTAACTCTTCGAAAGTAAATAAAGACGGAAAAAGCTCATATTTTCACGGGAGTAACAATTTTTGTTTGTTTGCTTATTTTAGTGTATGTTTAATTTCACTACCCGTTTGGGCCAAGGGTTCAGCTGGCATTGGATGTAATATATTCAATGGCCACCTCTAATGGGATGACGTTAGTTGAGCTGAAAGCCATGGGACTTAAACAGTTCAATTTCAAATGATTCGAACCTGGACGTCCACACAGCAGCCCAATACCTTACAGTGCGATCATGAGATGATTTTCGTCCAGCATAGAGTTAAGCACAAGTCAGATGGATGCCATTGGGTCACTTACCAGCCTTCCTGGCTTTCTCTGCCTCAGCGATCGTTGCCTGCTTGTTGTTGGATCTGCCGTCAGTGACGACGATAGCGATCTTAGGCACGTTAGCTCGGTGTCCTGCGGCAGCAGTGAACGACTCACGGGTCATGTGGCTGAGGCAAACACAAGGAGAATGCATTCTTAACCGTTTTGACACAGAATGTTTGCATGTACATTTATCTCTAAAGGTCTATCGTATTTCTAGTTGTGGGGTTTTTGGGGGGTAATTTTATACACTAGTGTTTGTACCATTTTGGACTTATCTTGAGACGCACAATTTTTCTTTTATGTAGTAATAATTTACGTCCTAGCAAAGTTAAACATTAAAAATAAGGTCTTAAAACAGTCATCCCTCCCCTTTCCAAAGAAAGACCACATAATGTGGAAACCGACAAACGGAGAGACATAATTTAACAATAAATAATATATTAACCTTCATAAATTTTAAGGGGACATAAAGTTAACATCAAGTACATCAAAACAGGAAAGAAAAGAAAACTGATCCAAGATCGTGAATACACAGAGAGATGAGATATTTTTTAACACGATTGTCTCTGATCGCATTTGACCTTTCGCCTCCCAATTCAAATCTAGGTTATCATAAGTAGTGCTTCGCTACAAGATTTTATTTTTGAACTCAAAACTGATAAATAATACACTGGTTTAAAACAAGAAAAGAAAATCACGAGGGGGGGGGGGGTGGTTTAAGTGCCAAACTATAGCAGGAGTTCCGTATTTAGTAAAGCAATGTATTGGTCTTGACAGCTAAAAAGAAGCAGTCACTGAGACAAGAAAACAAAAAATCCTTTTCTCTAGAAACGAACCATTGGACTACGCATAATCTATCTCTTATAATATTAAAGTGAAAGTTAGGGGCAAACTTTCAAACAACAATGTCTGAGACTTCGGTTTAAGCGTAACTTGGTCCTGCTTTTTACTCTCTTTTTGTTTTACCCAATAGCATCCCCAGTGTTGGTTCCTCCTCCGCTGTAGTGGATATTCTTGACGGCGCTCAAAAGACTTGGCTTGCTTAGGTGGTCTTTGAGGTGGAAGTCAGTGCCGAAACTTGTAGAGAATGTGTCCACACCAACCTAAGAAGTTTCAAGCATCGATTCTTTTCTGAGAACTTATTATCAGCATGTTTCAGTTCATTGTTAAACGATTTTGCCCCAGGTATTAAGCTACATAAATCGTTCGTTACGTCTTTCTCGTTGCAACTACTGCAGGTTTCGCTGCGGTTGTTGTTGCTTTTGTTGTGGTTGTTGTTGTTGTTGTTGTTGTTGTTGTTGTTGTTATGGATGTCGCTATTGTTGTGATTGTAGTTGTTGTTGTGGTTGTGGTTGCTGTTGTGGTTGCTATTGTTATTGTTGTTGTTGCTGTTGTTGTTGTGGGAAAAAAGGGATAATTGGTAGGAGACTATGGTCTTGAAGCACAATAACTGCTATATTTCATAAATTAAAAAAAATTGGAAATGAGGATTTAACCTGAATGAAAATCAAAACGTGGTTGAAATATCTTCAAAAACTTGGCTCCCATATGACTGGTAACAAACTAAATGACAAGATCAAAACTCGCATTTTATAACTTGACAGATAAATTCTTTTTTTTTTATTTGTAAAGGTCACCAATAACTATGAGTCATTTCATAAAACTAAGAAAGAGTTGAAGAAAATGTATTTATTTATTTTGTTATACCGGTACCATATACTTTCAAATAATGGTAAAACTCTTTGGATTTTATTTGAGTTGCTTTCGTTGAGTATACGTTATATTTGAACTGTTGTAGATTGTACTATATAGTCTAATGACATCGAAAAAAGTAAACCGCTATGAATATCCCCGAACTGAACAAGTGGATTGAGAATTTTTCCTCCGTGAATGCTCGCTGAAGCATAATATGTCCTGCTCTTTTTAGCTCTACAACAAGGATTGATTAGCATATCGCTATTTTCTTGCTTGCTTACATATTTAGTTATTGTTTTTGTTATGTTTGTTTTATAGTTTGTATCCTTTGTTTGCTTGTTGTTGTTATTTCTGGAGGAGGGGTAAAGGGTGGGTTTGGGTTGTCATAACAATACATAAAATGAAATAGGAAATAGGAACTTACCTGTACGTCATTAGGTCCAATAGTGAAGTCATTGGCCACGTTTTGTACGAAAGACAACATCTTGTCGAAGTTTGACTGTCCCACGCTGCCAGACTCATCCAGCAAGAAAACAATGTCAGCTTGGCCTCCACAGGTGGCAGGAGGAGGGGTGGCAGCCTTCATGGTCGGCTTCACTTCACACGCCTAGATAGTGCAAACAGGGGAAAATATATGAGAGGGGGAAAAGATGCTCGAGTGTATAAGTTTAAGGGCAATTTTATTTGTTTTTGTCCCTGTTTGAAAAAAACACAACCAAACCAAAGAATGTGTAATAACCAGATGACCGTAGAATATATCTGAACTAAAGCTCTTTCATGTATTCTTGACGAAAGGAAGGAGCAGCTACGGGTATATCCAGATTGCATTGATGCTAGCCCGTCTAACTTACGATCAATTACTACAATAAGATACATTTGTGTTACAGATTTGCGTCCCTATTTGCACCCACTGTGCGTTCTTCCATCGAAGTTCTTTCCCCCCAGATTTTGTCATCAAGGCGTATAGACAAGATGTCAGACCAAAGCCACTTATTCTGCTACGTAAATTGATATTTCTCCTCATTAGCGAATAGATGATGGGCACCAGTGACAAACTTTACGTTCGCACGATATCCATATCGCTTCTGTTTGTCATCGATACGTGCGATACTGACATTGTTTATACATAGCAAACGATCGTGTCAGTACACCTCGCTGATGAGTTATGCACACATCACAGTTTTCGTTGCAAGCAGAATATTATGTGTGAACGATTTCCAAACGTTTTCGTTTTCTTTTAACCGAATATCTTGTCGTCTGTGGTAATTATTGTATCCTTGATATGCAGGATCGAAGAGGCTCGCCTTCTGAATATCTACAACAAATGATCACAGCTGTCCGTCTTAGTCAGTCAGCCGCCTCTCACAATGCGATATACTATGTTCTGGGGAGGCCATTGAGAATGAACAGAGATTGTAAATTTTGATAGTATGCTGTCCAGCCTGCAGAGCGCCACTTCGCTGCCATTGGGAGCTTTACGTCACAGCTTAGCGGGGGGGGGGGGGGGGGGGGGGGGCAGCGGTGACCAGAGGCGAAGCGTCTATATAATCAAATAATCACTGCTTCCCTTCCTAATTTTGAAATATTATCGCAGTCAAATTCACCGATAGACGTAAACCTCACAAATTAAATGTAAAAAGACGTTCATAATCACCAATGAACAATAGACTATGCCTAACCTTCAAAACCGTTTCATTGCCACAGAAATAGCCTGTTCGCCCCTATCGGGCCACTCCATAAGCAGTCACAAGCTTTGATTAAGTAAGCTTACAGTGAGGCTGGAAGAGTCAACCAATGGATTTGAAGGGAACATGTGCATAGCAGTCAGAACTGTTTCATTGTCGCATATACCTTGTTCACCCCTTTCGGGCCACACTTATAAGCACCCAGACACGCTGATTATCTAAGCGAACTATTACACTGGTCGAGTCTACCTCACAGATGTGAGGGGAACTAACTCCTAATAATCCTTTGACTCCTGCTACTACACTGCTAGTGCTTGTTTTTTTCCTCGACTTTTTAACGTCCTATAATCAGATCGTGACCTCAATTATGACAGCGGCTCCTGGCCGCGAAAAGCTAGACAAAACACAGCCAAATGTGAAATAAAAAATTGATAGTTGGCGTGCTCTACCAAAGTGTTTCGGCTGTCTGGTATAACATGCCATTGTAGTGCTGACATCTGTGCTTCTTTCCTTGGTGTTCGTGTGTTCAAATCTAAAGTTAAATTTAAGGTTAGTTAGAATAAATACTTAATGAAATACTTTCCCGATTATTTTAGCGGTTGAACAAGCATACAACATGAATTCAGGATTTGTTTTCATTCACAACTCAGAGTTGCCGCCTCCAGTGCCAGTAAGATTCTTGTGACTTGTGTGAGTGTGATATCTCCAGGCCCTATCTGGTCCCATTTCACTTTGATTACCCTCTCAAACAAGTCAGCCTTCGCCCCTGTCGGGTGACATTCTTTCTTACTTTCTTCAGTACTTACTTTGTCTTTTTGCAATCTGCCGACGTGTGGGTAAAGGCGAGTTGTGGAAAACCCACCAACAGGTGTTCGTCACTAAAGTTTGTTGTTTCGTCACTGCCATTCCAAAATCGCCCAAATAAATTTCTGGAGGTCTCCAGATGAAGTCACTATTCGATCAAACACATCAAGGGGCATCTTTCAATGTTACAGTTTTGTTCTGTTTCGATATTTTCTTCATAGTCTTGGATTGAAAAATGACGAGTTCCCATCCAAGTCATCGTTCAAATTTAGACGCTCTCTTTTTCTTCCGTATTCCCAAAACTTCAAAATATGACTTACGGTCTTGTGGAATGACGACTTTAATCTCATTCCACTCTCTATCACTCTTTCTCTCTCTCTCTCTCTCTTTCTCTCTCTCTCTCTCACACACACACACACACACACACACACTCACACACATACACACACACACACACACACACACGCACACACACACACACACACACGAACAAAGCAACTAAAAACTCACAAACTCACATACAACAAGTACAGTTTCGAGTGTCATTAAACTTCAGAAAGACACCCCCCTAAAAAATAGACAAAGAAAGTATACCTTCTGCTGGAGAGATCCCTTGATCTGGTTCAAAGAGTCGAAGTTAGTGACGACAAATACGTGGTCTTTGTCTGGGTCAGAGGCGATAGCGTTGAGCTCGGACTGTTTGGCTCCTCCACCGACACCGATGGAGAAGACTGTAATGCCCTGTGTATCAAAACAGCCACAAAACAGTGTAAGGTGCAGTCATTCAAAACATTAATTTGGGGGGAAAGTGAGAGGCAGAGAGAGAGAGAGAACAAGAGAGAGAAAGAGAAGGAGAGAGAGAGAGAGAGAGAGAGAGAGAGAGAGAGAGAGAGAGAGAGAGAGAAGCAGACAGAAAAATAGATAAAGAGAGGGACAGAGAGAGAGAGAGAGAGAGAGAGAGAGAGAGAGAGAGAGAGAGAGAGAAAAAGGGAGATAAGGGTAGAGAGAAATGGGAAACGGAGAAAGAGAAAGAAAGAGGAGAGAGAGAGAGAGAGAGAGAGAGAGAGAGAGAGAGAGAGAGAGAGAGAGAGAGAGAGAGAGAAAGAGAAGCGGAGAGAGAGAGAAGCGGAGAGAGAGAGAGAGAGAGAGAGAGAGAGAGAGATATAAAAATAGAAAGGGAGGGAAAGAGAGGGGGAGGGGGGTAGAGGAAAGAAGAATAGAGAGAAGCAGAGAAATAGAAAAAAAACGAGACAGCGTGAGATAAATAGAGAGAGATAAAAAGAGAGGGAGTGAGAGCGACAAGGAGAGAGAAAGTGACAGGGAGAGAAAGAAAGAAAGAAAGAGAGAGATGGAGAGAGAGAGAGAGAGAGAGAGAGAGAGAGAGAGAGAGAGAGAGAGAGAGAGAGAGAGAGAGAGAGAATAGGCAAACGTATCGAATAATGTACGGTGTCGGCGTATAGGCTCTTTCCTGTTTACAATTGCGGTTTCGATTTCTTTTTGGTCAGAATTAAAAGAGTAGATGACGTCCCGTTTTTATATTTCACGACGGAAAGCAAGAGCTGGCACGATATTAATATTTTATGATATCAGTAGACTTTCTGTTAAAGACCAGTATCTATACAATACTAGAATAAAATAAGTCTACACCTGTAGACAAAGGTTATTTTAAGCTTCAGACGTTGGTCTCTTCGCCATGAACATTGAAAACTCTTTAACATGATCATAAAGTAGATCTGTCAGTTAATTGGTTAAAAAGACAAATGAAACAAACAAACAAACAAACAAACACACATAAACGAATCAATTAACAGACAAACAGACACAAGGGACAATAAACAACCTTTCACCCCACCTCGGCAGTGCTACTAACTGAAGTGCCTTTAGGTCATTCCTAAACTGGGGGATATTAACATGTTCTTATGCATAGTAGAATTGTAAATGGGCTGATTTATCAAGGTCATGCTCATACTGTGCCGGAACAACAAAGGGGGAACTGCTACTTTTCCTTTACTCATCCTTACTCTAGTCATCTTAACCTTTACTTCTTTTGTATGTTTGTCAATATCTTGTGAACTGCTATTTCTGGGGTGCCTTAATCCTATTATTACGCCAAGGGGTCATTCTGTACCTCCGGGGCTGTATTCTTCACTTCTAGTACGAAGATCTCTTTGAAACTTTCAGTATTTCTCAAAAAATCATTTTGACAGACTGATATGCAAAGCGTACGGATCGGATTAACGAGTAAATTTCCTCTTTGAAAGTGGTGGCACCAGTGGCGGTGGGTGGACCAAAACTTGGGTGGGGCTTAGATTGCTTCCAGTTCTCTACCACTAAATAGCAAGCAATAAGAATTAAACAGTGATGATTTTTTTATACTCACGATGAGCCACGTCAGTTTGAGAACCATTCAAACGAGAAGAGTTGCCTTTGTTTTCCGTCTCTTTGTTCTTAGTTAAATTTTTGTTGATGGTGAGGACGAAGCTGATTCACCTCCAAATTTCCTCTAATTAGTTTTCATGTGATGAAAAAGTTGCCTTACAAGTTGTTCGACCTGATTTATAACTTTTAAATATCAGCGGCACGAACACAAACATGAACACACAGCACTTTAAACATAATACTTCTTTGAGCTGGATTAGGCCGTGTAGTCGAGAAAGTGGGACGCACCCAACAAAGAACCAATGCGCGCATAGGTATCTGTGTCAGTGGGGGAAAGTGTGTCGTAAACTTTCACCCCGTAGTCAGGGCTAGGAGAGCGTGAGCCCTCGGTACAGTGTTATTTTTTCCCAGTCTTCTACCTTTTTACAAGAAGATTTCATTAAGGACGGACTGTGGGAAAAGGGCTCGTCTTTGCTGAGCCCTAAAGACATTTGATTGGCTGCTGGGTTACAATAGTTGTAAGCGGTGACAACAGTGATTGGATAAGCGAGCAAGCCGCCAAGTTGATCACTCTGTGTTCTTTGCGTGCGGTCATAACGGTTTCAACTGCTTATTTCATTATGGAGAAACTTTCATTTGCTTTGGGATAGAGTTGGGGGTGGTGGATGGGGAAGGGTTAGGGGCTCAAGCCCGTGAGCCCTTCACTACCCACCGTCACTGGGTGGCACAACGTACGGATATGGTTAATAGCCGAAGCAGACTTTGTGCTGTTGAGGCAAGAGAGGTGAGCAGAGTAAACCTGGTTCCTCGTTTGGACTTCTCTATTGACCTCCACCCCTTGGCGCTCATATGACCTTTTGCAGTTGTGAGCGTCGTAAAACTTTACTAAAACCAATCAACCAACCAACCAAACAACCAACCAACCAACCAACCAACCAACCAAGAAACAAACAAACAAACAAACAAACAAACTAACTAACTAACTAACTAACTAACTAACAAACAACCTTATCTCTCAGACGTTTGGCCTCAGCTGCCGTGGCGGCGGCGCTCTGGCTCTGTCCGTCAGTGACAACAATAGCGATGTGCGCAGCATTGGGCCGCATGCCGTTGGCGGTGGTGAAGCTAGTGTCAGTGGCGTACTTGAGGGCTTTGTCCGTGTTGGTGCCACCCTTCGTGTAGGTTGTGGCTTTCACTCTGTTGATGATACTCTGTTGTGGACGGGAGGGGAAGGGGGCGGGCGCGTGGGAATTTTTTGGGTAAAAAAGGGAGGGGGCGGTTTGGGGGGGGGGGGGAGAGATTAAAATGTTGGGTATAGAAGAGAGAAGGAACTGTTGGATTGGTGACGACTCAGGTATGCGATTCCCTTTTAGTTGACCTGTCACTGTTTAGTATAGTATCTATCTATCTATCTATCTATCTATCTATCTATCTATCTATCTATCTATCTATCTATCTATCTATCTATCTATCTATCTATCTATCTATCTATCTATCTATCTATCTATCTATCGAATATATTCACCCAATCTTCGTGTTATAGCCTTGAACTACAATAATACCCGCTCATGTAGCATACCAATTTAAACGTATTGATATCATTAATTAATACAGATAAGGCACATTGAAGTCAAATCTTTTAACCATTTTGAAACTCTCTTTTCTTTCATTTAGTACTACAATTTGTCTTTCTTTCCGTTTCTTTTCGGTCTCTTTCTCTCAATCTCCATTTCTTTCCTTCTTTCTTTATTTTACTAGCCTTCTAACGAAGGTTATGTACGGAAACATTTGGCGGTAAAATGGAATAATAGTTACCTGTTTATCAGAACATTAGCTGAAATGGGTTATGTACGAAAACATTTGGCGGGTAAAATGGAATAACAGTTACCTGTTTATCAGAAAATTTGTTGAAATGGAACTGAAGGTAGGGTTTTGTGTCGAAAGTGACCATGCCGATCTGTGTGTCTGCAGGCCCGATCTTTAGACCGTTTACTGTGTTCTCCACAAAGGTCAAGGTCTTCTGGAAGTTGGGTGCAGTCACGGAGCCAGAGGCGTCAACCACGAAGAGGATATCGGCAGGCTGGACACCACATCCTGGACAGTCATTTCAATAGTAAATTTATTATATGTTTTACGCCCACATCAACGCAGTTTACATTTTGGTCAGGTCATAATTTATGATGCAGCACGTCCGGCTAATTAAGAGGGCAATAACGTCCCAGCAGACAGACGGTAAGGTAATACTTGATATTTTTAAAAACCAGAAAACAACCCCCACCCCCTTCCCCCCTCCCCCCCAAAAAAACCCTCACAAAAAAGCGCAAAAACCCAACAACAGCCGAGAGAGAGAGAGAGAGAGAGAGAGAGAGAGAGAGAGAGAGAGAGAGAGAGAGAGAGAGAGAGAGAGAGAGAGAGAGAGAGAGAGAGAGAGAGAGAGAGAGAGAGAGAGATGAACATG